GGAGTTTTTGGCGTGACACTCGCTAGATCCTATATAGTTTACCAGCAACGATTTTACTGACCATATTGGATGAAGCCAATTTTCCAAGGATCTGCTCTACCGATTTTTTGCACGGAAGGATTTTTTCAATCCTTACCATGTCTCCTACCATAATCCAAGGAGTTTTTGGCGCGACACTCGCTAGATCCTATATAGTTCACCAGCAACGATTTTACTGACCATTTTGGATGAAGCCAATTTTCCAAGGATCTGCTCTACCGATTTTTTGCACGGAAGGATTTTTTCAATCCTTACCATGTCTCCTACCATAATCCAAGGAGTTTTTGGCGCGACACTCGCTAGATCCTACATAGTTTACCAGCAACGATTTTACTGACCATTTTGGAGGAGGCCAATTTTCCAAGGATCTGCTCTACCGATTTTTTGCACGGAAGGATTTTTTCAATCCTTACCATGTCTCCTACCATATTCCAAAGAGTTTTTGGCGCGACACTCGCTAGATCCTATACAGTTTACCAGCAACGATTTTACTGACCATTTTGGAGGAAGCCAATTTTCCAAGGATCTGCTCTACCGATTTTTTGCACGGAAGGATTTTTTCAATCCTTACCATGTCTCCTAACATATTCCAAAGAGTTTTTGGCGCGACACTCGCTAGATCCTATACAGTTCACCAGCAACGATTTTACTGACCATTTTGGAGGAAGCCAATTTTCCAAGGATCTGCTCTACCGATTTTTTGCACGGAAGGATTTTTTCAATCCTTACCATGTCTCCTACCATATTCCAAGGAGTTTTTGGCGCGACACTCGCTAGATCCTATACAGTTCACCAGCAACGATTTTACTGACCATTTTGGATGAAGCCAATTTTCCAAGGATCTGCTCTACCGATTTTTTGCACGGAAGGATTTTTTCAATCCTTACCATGTCTCCTACCATAATCCAAGGAGTTTTTGGCGCGACACTCGCTAGATCCTATACAGTTCACCAGCAACGATTTTACTGACCATTTTGGATGAAGCCAATTTTCCAAGGATCTGCTCTACCGATTTTTTGCACGGAAGGATTTTTTCAATCCTTACCATGTCTCCTACCATAATCCAAGGAGTTTTTGGCGCGACACTCGCTAGATCCTATACAGTTCACCAGCAACGATTTTACTGACAATTTTGGATGAAGCCAATTTTCCAAGGATCTGCTCTACCGATTTTTTGCACGGAAGGATTTTTTCAATCCTTACCATGTCTCCTACCATAATCCAAGGAGTTTTTGGCGCGACACTCGCTAGATCCTACATAGTTTACCAGCAACGATTTTACTGACCATTTTGGAGGAGGCCAATTTTCCAAGGATCTGCTCTACCGATTTTTTGCACGGAAGGATTTTTTGAATCCTTACCATGTCTCCTAACATAATCCAAGGAGTTTTTGGCGCGACACTCGCTAGATCCTATATAGTTTACCAGCAACGATTTTACTGACCATTTTGGAGGAAGCCAATTTTCCAAGGATCTACTCTACCGATTTTTTGCACGGAAGGATTTTTTCAATCCTTACCATGTCTCCTACCATATTCCAAAGAGTTTTTGGCGTGACACTCGCTAGATCCTATATAGTTTACCAGCAACGTTTTTACTGACCATTTTGGATGAAGCCAATTTTCCAAGGATCTGCTCTACCGATTTTTTGCACGGAAGGATTTTTTCAATCCTTACCATGTCTCCTAACATATTCCAAAGAGTTTTTTGCGCGACACTCGCTAGATCCTATACAGTTTACCAGCAACGATTTTACTGACCATTTTGGAGGAAGCCAATTTTCCAAGGATTTGCTCTACCGATTTTTTGCACGGAAGGATTTTTTCAATCCTTACCATGTCTCCTACCATAATCAAAGGATTTTTTGGCGCGACACTCGCTAGATCCTATACAGTTTACCAGCAACGATTTTACTGACCATTTTGGAAGAAGCCAATTTTCCAAGGATCTGCTCTACCGATTTTTTGCACGGAAGGATTTTTTCAATCCTTACCATGTCTCCTACCATAATCCAAGGAGTTTTTGGCGCGACACTCGCTAGATCCTATACAGTTTACCAGCAACGATTTTACTGACCATTTTGGATGAAGCCAATTTTCCAAGGATCTGCTCTACCGATTTTTTGCACGGAAGGATTTTTTCAATCCTTACCATGTCTCCTACCAGATTCCAAGGAGTTTTTGGCGCGACACTCGCTAGATCCTACATAGTTTACCAGCAACGATTTTACTGACCATTTTGGAGGAGGCCAATTTTCCAAGGATCTGCTCTACCGATTTTTTGCACGGAAGGATTTTTTCAATCCTTACCATGTCTCCTACCATATTCCATGGAGTTTTTGGCGCGACACTCGCTAGATCCTATACAGTTCACCAGCAACGATTTTACTGACCATTTTGGATGAAGCCAATTTTCCAAGGATCTGCTCTACCGATTTTTTGCACGGAAGGATTTTTTCAATCCTTACCATGTCTCCTAACATATTCCAAAGAGTTTTTGGCGCGACACTCGCTAGATCCTATACAGTTCACCAGCAACGATTTTACTGACCATTTTGGAAGAAGCCAATTTTCCAAGGATCTGCTCTACCGATTTTTTGCACGTAAGGATTTTTTCAATCTTTACCATGTCTCCTACCATAATTCAAGGAGTTTTTGGCGCGACACTCGCTAGATCCTATACAGTTCACCAGCAACGATTTTACTGACCATTTTGGAAGAAGCCAATTTTCCAAGGATCTGCTCTACCGATTTTTTGCACGGAAGGATTTTTTCAATCCTTACCATGTCTCCTACCATAATCCAAGGAGTTTTTGGCGCGACACTCGCTAGATCCTATACAGTTCACCAGCAACGATTTTACTGACCATTTTGGATGAAGCCAATTTTCCAAGGATCTGCTCTACCGATTTTTTGCACGGAAGGATTTTTTCAATCCTTACCATGTCTCCTACCATAATCCAAGGAGTTTTTGGCGCGACACTCGCTAGATCCTATACAGTTCACCAGCAACGATTTTACTGACAATTTTGGATGAAGCCAATTTTCCAAGGATCTGCTCTACCGATTTTTTGCACGGAAGGATTTTTTCAATCCTTACCATGTCTCCTACCATAATCCAAGGAGTTTTTGGCGCGACACTCGCTAGATCCTACATAGTTTACCAGCAACGATTTTACTGACCATTTTGGAGGAGGCCAATTTTCCAAGGATCTGCTCTACCGATTTTTTGCACGGAAGGATTTTTTGAATCCTTACCATGTCTCCTAACATAATCCAAGGAGTTTTTGGCGCGACACTCGCTAGATCCTATATAGTTTACCAGCAACGATTTTACTGACCATTTTGGAGGAAGCCAATTTTCCAAGGATCTACTCTACCGATTTTTTGCACGGAAGGATTTTTTCAATCCTTACCATGTCTCCTACCATATTCCAAAGAGTTTTTGGCGTGACACTCGCTAGATCCTATATAGTTTACCAGCAACGTTTTTACTGACCATTTTGGATGAAGCCAATTTTCCAAGGATCTGCTCTACCGATTTTTTGCACGGAAGGATTTTTTCAATCCTTACCATGTCTCCTAACATATTCCAAAGAGTTTTTTGCGCGACACTCGCTAGATCCTATACAGTTTACCAGCAACGATTTTACTGACCATTTTGGAGGAAGCCAATTTTCCAAGGATTTGCTCTACCGATTTTTTGCACGGAAGGATTTTTTCAATCCTTACCATGTCTCCTACCATAATCAAAGGATTTTTTGGCGCGACACTCGCTAGATCCTATACAGTTTACCAGCAACGATTTTACTGACCATTTTGGAAGAAGCCAATTTTCCAAGGATCTGCTCTACCGATTTTTTGCACGGAAGGATTTTTTCAATCCTTACCATGTCTCCTACCATAATCCAAGGAGTTTTTGGCGCGACACTCGCTAGATCCTATACAGTTTACCAGCAACGATTTTACTGACCATTTTGGATGAAGCCAATTTTCCAAGGATCTGCTCTACCGATTTTTTGCACGGAAGGATTTTTTCAATCCTTACCATGTCTCCTACCAGATTCCAAGGAGTTTTTGGCGCGACACTCGCTAGATCCTACATAGTTTACCAGCAACGATTTTACTGACCATTTTGGAGGAGGCCAATTTTCCAAGGATCTGCTCTACCGATTTTTTGCACGGAAGGATTTTTTCAATCCTTACCATGTCTCCTACCATATTCCATGGAGTTTTTGGCGCGACACTCGCTAGATCCTATACAGTTCACCAGCAACGATTTTACTGACCATTTTGGATGAAGCCAATTTTCCAAGGATCTGCTCTACCGATTTTTTGCACGGAAGGATTTTTTCAATCCTTACCATGTCTCCTAACATATTCCAAAGAGTTTTTGGCGCGACACTCGCTAGATCCTATACAGTTCACCAGCAACGATTTTACTGACCATTTTGGAAGAAGCCAATTTTCCAAGGATCTGCTCTACCGATTTTTTGCACGTAAGGATTTTTTCAATCTTTACCATGTCTCCTACCATAATTCAAGGAGTTTTTGGCGCGACACTCGCTAGATCCTATACAGTTCACCAGCAACGATTTTACTGACCATTTTGGAAGAAGCCAATTTTCCAAGGATCTGCTCTACCGATTTTTTGCACGGAAGGATTTTTTCAATCCTTACCATGTCTCCTACCATAATCCAAGGAGTTTTTGGCGCGACACTCGCTAGATCCTATACAGTTCACCAGCAACGATTACAGTTCACCAGCAACGATTTTTAGAGGAATCTAATTTTACAAGGAACTATAGTTCCAAGACTATATATAGTCTCGATTCCATTTTGAGTTTCCCATCTCTTTCCATTGAGTTTTCCATGGTATTTTTTATTAGCTAAGCAATTTATTTTTCCCCTGTGGTGTTGCCACTTAATTCCCAAAATTTTCTCTGCCGTTGCTATCTTTCGTTGCTAACTGGACGGACGTCAAAGCAAAAAGTGAAATTATTATTTGCTAGTGGAAAGCAATAAATACCGTGATAATAGAAATTCATTATTTAAATTAAATCTAAGTACATAAACAATAAGAAAAAGATAATTGCAAAAGAAAGCTGATATTATAAAGTGAAAGTGTTTAATGGATTAAAAAAGCAAAGTTTTTGCAATAATTAAATTGACATCTATAAACCTAGGCCGCCATTTTAAAAGTCAGGTTAGTACCTTTAAGTTTTATTAAAACTTAAGAAAAATTTTTTCTTAAGTTCTAATTAGTAATTTAGTGATACCTTTAATAAACAGTCCAATAACTAGTTAGTAGGCTAGTCTATAATCTAGTCAACAGACTTCCTTAGTCAATAATCTCTATAGACTTTCCATAAACACTTGACAAATGGTCTAGACAATATAGGTACTCCCCTTATTCACAAACAACATTTTTATTTTATAAAAGGTTTATAAAACAAAATTTCCATACAAAATCTAATTTATAAACTGTTTATAACATAAAATTTATTTAGTATTATATTAGTTACAAGACTAGGCCATAAAAGAGCTATTACATAGAATAAACAATAGACTCGACTGTCGACGAGACCGCAGACTAGTCAATAGGCAATACAATAGATGGGCCAATAGAGTAAATAGGCAAGGCAATGGACCAGTTCGCGTTTCGTATTAAATAGAGCAATTCAATGATTACTTAAACTAATCCGAATGATTAGTCAATCATTAGGCTAATAGCAGATATTATACCTACTACACAATTTTAATTTTTTATAATTTGATGTGTAAGGATTTTGTCTTACCTATATGTATAACTATTTCAATCTGAATATTTATGATGATAATTGTTACACTCCTAATATTTTACACCAAAGTGAATAGGATAAACAAATTCGTTTATCTTGTCTATTCTATACCATCAAAAATTATATTTGAAGTTAGTTTTTAAAATTACATATTTTGTTATTATTTTTCATCGACTATATTTTGTAAACAAACCAACTAAGAGAAATTTAAAAATGGATTCGGCTTTAGATCCTTTAGATCTTGTAAAACATTCTGAAAGAATAGAAAAACATCCAGTTCCTCCCATTGATACTGAAGCATTGGCCCAATATCTGGAGGAAATAGCTCAAGAAGCTGCCAATCTAATTAATTCGGATACAAAACAAGAATTTCTATATAAAAATCCTAACGGATGGCAACATACAAAACTTTATTACAATGTCAAGAAGTTTTGCCAAAAAATTGGAGTAACAAAAGTCGATAGTTCAAATGATATAGATAGTCCTAGCAGCAATTCAATATCCCTTGCAGCACCCAGTTCTTCTACCACCAGTGAGGAACTAGAAATTAAACTAGAACCTTGGTCCTTAATAGAAGATTTTAAATTTCCCTCAGTGGTACACCAAATAAATGAATTCATACAAACCTGGGAATTAAGTTCTGCCACAAAATTTGTAGTTATAGCTTTGGATAAAATTGAGCACATACCACCCTTTGGTCAAAAATATTTTGTAGAGGCACATTTTTCTAAACCCACACCCAAATGTCCCAACCCTTTAGCTGTAGCCAAAGTGTACTTTCAAATAAATGTAAGTAACTTGCTGCCGAGTGATTACCCGGTGAATGTTACCTACAAATTTGAAAGCTATAAAAGTCAATTTTATGCCATGGGTAAACTTAAAATGAGTTCAAATAAATTTCAACGTTATTACATAGATTCCATATTACACATGAAATTATCATTTTACGCCGAATTATGTGAATGTCGTAATCCCTTGAAACCATTGGAAAAGCGCAAAAAGAGTGGTAAATTAGAAAGAATAAAAAGCTTGTGATCTTGAAAAATTGCTGTTTGTCTTGTAGTTTGAGAGAATTGTAAAAAGAACCATTTACTTTTTTAATTGAAACAAATAAATTGATTTTCTTTTTACTGCAAACAACAAATTTCATGTAACTGCTGTTGAGTTTTTCATTTTTACGTAGTTTTTTTTCTTTATTTTTTTTTTTGTGTTTTGTTTTACAATCAATACATTGATACATGCTGAATGTATGTTGAAATTCACATAGCGTCAGTCACACATAGTCATGTACGTTTGTATGTACTTCAATACCTATAAACAAATATACTAACGAACCTCAGTATTTGACATTGATGTGGTACACAGTGTTTGGATGTATGCCTGTCCTTAGACACAATATGTTGGCAAAACAAAAACAATGACTTCGAAAACACATTTTCCACAACAAAAAAATCTCTCACTTCCACCCCCCATCCACCTCCTCCTGCCAGCCATGTAAAGTGTTACACACAGAAAAAGAAAAAAATAAAACAGCGAAAAATACAAAAAACTGTATAAACGTTTATATTATAACGAGATTATTGTCTAGCTCTGGTGCATACACTCCCATACAGCAACATAGTCATACATATGTACATTGTATACAAATATGTAGTTATTTTGGGGAGAGTGTAGAAGTGTTGAAATGCACGTTAGTATATAAGTGTCTTTGGATCTGTGTGTATTTATGCATTTTACAAAATGTCACCGTTATGTTTTTAGTGCCCGAGAGAGCTTTTTAATTGGACATTTTGGTACATGATTGTTATTGACTTAAAACTACATGAATATACAAACAAACAGAACATATACAAATATACATTTAAACACATATACACAGAGTCAGACAGCAACACATCAACATACAAATGCACAAGAATATGGAAATCAAAACACATCTGAGTACGATCAACATATCTACGGTAATAAAGGATATAAACAGACATACACACAGTTACAAGTAAACACAACATTACTATCTACTCTACAAATTATTTGAATAAGTTGGAAATACTTTAAGTTTTGTTTAGAAAATTTTAATTTGGAAAAATATTATATTATGGTTCAACTGTTTTTTTTACAAGGTTTATGATTTTAAAAGATTATAATCTAAAATGTTTAAAAAATGTTTCTGTACAAATTAATTTTGAATAGATATGATTTAATTTTATTCAAAAGTCCGACAGTGTTTAACACATTCTCTTCGACGTATGCATAAAATGCCCACAATGCACATTCTCAATTAGTTTAGTTGCATATTTTACTTAAATTCTAATACAACGTTAGGGCGTTTAATGGATTCATTTATATTTCTATTTAACACTTTCATGGGTTTTATTTTTAAAGGAACTTAATGTTACTAATTTAATATAATTTTACTTTGTTTATACGAAAAACGTTTCATTTCCTTAATGTCTTCTTAAGTTTTAATTAATATCACTCATATTTTTTAAAGTTCTCACTCAGAGGGGATATTTTAATTTTTTCGTTATGTATGCGAAATAATATTGGTGTTTGCTAGAGTAACTAATAGGACATAGATAAGATTTTGGGATTAACATGATATTTAACTCTTTTAAAATTATTTTTTTTTAGCAAACAAAATATGTAGTTTTGGTATTTTTTATTGTATAAATATCAAAAGTGTTCAAGAATTTATAAATGCTATAAGAATGGGTATTTCTATTACAATCTTAATGACGCCTATTACACTTCCTTTTTTAATTTGTGACTAACTCCAATGTTTCCTTTACATTTCTAAATGTATTTTATGAAATACTTACAGGAAAAAGTAGCTAAATTATTTTCTCTGCAGTTTTTTTATTATAACAGCTGTTGGCTGTGAAAAATAGATAAACGTGTCGGGCAGCACATTGTTAGCGAATAAAAAAGGTTTAAATATAATTAAGAAATGGAAATAATGAGTTAAATAGGACAATCTATAAAGAAAAGCAAAATGTAGGCAACAACTACATACACAATAGTATTTAATTAAAAGTAAAGTTAGTTGTGGGTTTAACATACTTATTTAGTTCAAGTTATGCCAGTGACCTATAAATTTAAAGATAAGTAAGGAAAGTAGTTAATATAAATAGCACTATATGTACTTTAATTGATTTTAAATAACACATTTCATTTAACTTTAATTTAAATTTATTGGACATTTATTCTTCTACATCTTTAATAAAAGAAATGAAACAAATTTGTTTAAACTCTAAGGTCCATTATCTCAACCTCCTATTATCATTTAACCGGTAGATATACTGTCGGTTAAACAATTTTTTTTGAATGAAAACTGTCAATTTGTCGTTAGGATATAAATTAATCAGACATTGGGAAAATGGGGGTAAGTTGAGTAAATTAAAAAAAAATAATGTTAAGAATTCAGTTTATTTATCTTTTGTACATTGTGGTTTTTTTTTCATGGCCTTAACCTTTGCGAAATAGTCAAATATCTAAAGCCTCAAAACAAACTAGTAATCGAAAAAAAAAAACAAAACACATTCAAGCCTTTATATTTTTCAAAAATAAACACATTTTAATTTTCTAAAAAGTTGAGTGAAGCAAATGAAGAAAGAATAAAAGAAACCTAGTGATGCCATGCCGCATAACAGCAGCATGAGGCATCATCGTATCCTTTGTTAACAAGTAAACAAATTATTTCTTTTGCCAAAGTGCAATCAACAACACTTTTTGTATCTACGTTTCAATATTTTTCGTTTTCTTTTTAATACAAGCATATTTTTGTTGGTATTTTTTTTTCTTTTTTTGTATTAGGATTTCAGTACCACAGTTAAATAATTTAACAATTTGTATTCATGATGAGCATTGAACATCAAAGACGTTTGGTAAATACAAAAAGGCTCAAAAACAACCACAACTACGGCAGTCAAAACCCGAAAAAAAAACTCACAGAAAAGTGTACAGCTTGTATATGAAAGTCAAACTCATATGTCGAGTATTTTACTCGTACAGTAAATGTTAACGCATCAGCGAAGTGTTAAAGTAGAAAAATACGTTGATACAGTATTATTACTTATGTATTACACTTTCACTTACACGCTCTCATATGCCTTCATTAACGCACCAACACTCATGTTTAATGCATGTGTATAAGGAATGTCACGTTTTACGAATTTTTATTCTCAAAGACACCAACAATGATGTCTTTTTTACAAGTTGAGAAATAATTAAAAATTTTTACAGTTTGATTAAAAAGAGAATGTGTTATCTAACTTCATTATTTCGAAGGATAATATGATTACTTGTTGATATTGTTATCGACTAATCTGAGAGTTTAATTTGATTTTTTGATATAAATTAAAAGTGGAAAATGTAATTTATTACTAAATAGCTTTATAAATTGGGTCGAATTATTTCATAGACACTACCCATAATCTTTTCCTGAAGAACTAAGCTTATTTCAGAACTTTCTCATATAAATTTAACAAAGTACAGAAACCGTATTGAAAATTTTTTAGGAAAATCTAGCCATTTGTCTTCGCGATGTGATCTCTGGAGACAAACTGAACGATTTTTGGCAATGTCGTGTAAGATCTATTAGTTCTTATCTTTTACAAAAGAGTAGAAGAGTAACAAGTGTTAAATTACTTGTTATAAATGAATATTGGATTTTAATAATATACTTATTTCTTTTTGTTTAAAAACTCCTTAAAACACGCTTAAGTCCTTAGGCCTTATTCATAAACAAATAAACTTATTCATAAACAAAAACATTTTATATGGAAAGTACCATACGTTTTATAAACCCTTTATTAAATAAAATGTTTATGAATAAAGGAATATTTATTATATATCCAAAAATATCGTTATTTGTTCATTAATTTGTGGTGTCTTGGCTAATATTAAACCGAGACAACTACCTGACACCGCAAACAGGGCGACTCAAATACTTTATTCATCCTAAAAGAATGCTTTGATATTTTTGCAAAAAAAAATCTAAAATACCCCTTGCTAGATTTTCTGCAATTCTGGGCTCCTGCTATTTAACGGAAATTGTTGTACTTTTGCAAAATCAAAATTTGTCTGTCAGTGTCGTCAGTCACCTCTTTTAAGGAAAATTTTGTTTTTTATTAAATTAGGAAATAAAACAATTTTTTTTTTATTTCTTAAGTTTATTTTTTACATTTATTTTTCATTTTACAGTGAGCACTTCATTTAGATAATCATATTTACTAATATGTTATTTATTCTTATAACTAGTATTAATTTTTTTAAGTTTAAGTTTAAGACAATTTGTTTGGCTTATTATTATTAAGTTTAAGTTAAGTTTCACACTTAAGAAATTCCTTTATTAATGTTATGACTTCTGACCATTTCATATCTAGTAAATTTGTTTTACAAATTTTTGACATTGTTTTTAGTTTAGACGTTTAGCTCCAGAATGACTTAAATCTTCGACGGAAGACCAAATGTGTAGTAATGGACGGGATATGTAGAAAATACAATAGAAAACAAACTATGTATAAGAAATAAGAAAGAAATAAGAAATAAAATAGTATTTTCTATAGACTAATCCATAGACTATAGACTAGACTATAGACTAGACTATAGACTAGACTATAGACTAGACTATAGACTAGACTATAGACTAGACCATAGACTAGACTATAGACTAGACTATAGACTAGACTATAGACTAGACTATAGACTAGACTATAGACTAGACTATAGACTAGACTATAGACTAGACTATAGACTAGACTATAGACTAGACTATAGACTAGACTATAGACTAGACTATAGACTAGACTATAGACTAGACTATAAACTAGACTATAGACTAGACTATAGACTAGACTATAGACTAGACTATAGACTAGACTATACACTAGACTATACACTAGACTATAGACTAGACTATAGACTGACTATAGACTAGATATAGACTAGACTATAGACTAGACTATAGACTAGACTATAGACTAGACTATAGACTAGACTATAGACTAGACTATAGACTATAGACTAGAACTATAGACTAGACTATAGACTATAGACTAGACTATAGACTAGACTATAGACTAGACTATAGACTAGACTATAGACTAGGACTATAGACTAGACTATAGACTAGGACTATAGACTAGACTATAGACTAGACTATAGACTAGACTATAGACTAGACTATAGACTAGACTATAGACTAGACTATAGACTAGACTATAGACTAGACTATAGACTAGACTATAGACTAGACTATAGACTAGACTATAGACTACTAGACTATAGACTAGACTATAGACTAGACCTATAGACTAGACTATAGACCTAGACTATAGACTAGACATAGACTAGACTATAGACTAGACTATAGACTAGACTATAGACTAGACTATAGACTAGACTATAGACTAGACTATAGACTAGACTATAGACTAGACTATAGACTAGACTATAGACTAGACTATAGACTAGACTATAGACTAGACTATAGACTAGACTATAGACTAGACTATAGACTAGACTAGACTAGACTAGACTAGACTATAGACTAGACTAGACTATAGACTAGACTATAGACTAGACTATAGACTAGACTATAGACTAGACTATAGACTAGACCATAGACTAGACTATAGACTAGACTATAGACTAGACTATAGACTAGACTATAAACTAGACTATAGACTACACTATAGACTACCTATAAACTACACTATAGACTACACTATAGACTACACTATAGACTACACTATAGACTAGACAATAGACTATCCTGTAGACTAGACTATAGACTAGACTGTAGACTAGACTGTAGACTAGACATTAGACTGGCCTGTAGACTAGACTATAGACTAGACTAGACTATAGACTAGACTATAGACTAGACTAGACTATAGACTAGACTATAGACTAGACATAGACTAGACTAGACTATAGACTAGACTATAGACTAGACCATAGACTAGACTAGACTATAGACTAGACTAGACCATAGACTAGACTATAGACTAGACTAGACCATAGACTAGACACTAGACTATAGACTAGACTATAGACTAGACTATAGACTAGACTATAGACTAGACTATAGACTAGACTATAGACTAGACTATAGACTAGACTATAGACTAGACTATAGACTAGACTATAGACTAGACTATAGACTAGACTAGACTATAGACTAGACTATAGACTAGACTATAGACTAGACTATAGACTAGACTATAGACTAGACTATAGACTAGACTATAGACTAGACTATAGACTAGACTATAGACTAGACTATAGACTAGACTATAGACTAGACTATAGACTAGACTATAGACTAGACTATAGACCTAGACTATAGACTAGACTATAGACTAGACTATAGACTAGACTATAGACTAGACTATAGACTAGACTATAGCTAGACTATAGACTAGAATATAGACTAGACTATAGACTAGAATATAGGACTATAGACTAGACTATAGACTAGACTATAGACTAGAATATAGACTAGACTATAGACTAGAATATAGACTAGACTATAGACTAGAATATAGACTAGACTATAGACTAGAATATAGACTAGACTATAGACTAGAATATAGACTAGACTATAGACTAGAATATAGACTAGACTATAGACTAGAATATAGACTAGACTATAGACTAGACTATAGACTAGAATATAGACTAGACTATAGACTAGACTATAGACTAGACTATCGACTAGACTATAGCCTATAGACTAGACTATAGACTAGACTATAGACTATAGACTATAGACTAGACTATAGACTATAGACTAGACTATAGACTAGTAGACTATAGACTTAGACTAGACTATAGACTAGACTATAGACTAGACTATAGACTAGACTATAGACTAGACTATAGACTAGACTATAGACTATAGACTAGACTATAGACTAGACTAGACTAGACTATACTAGACTATACTAGACTATAGACTAGACTATAGACTAGAACTATAGACTAGACTATAGACTAGACTTATAGACAGACTATAGACTAGACTATAGACTAGACTATAGACTAGACTATAGACTAGACTATAGACTAGACTATAGACTAGACTATAGACTAGACTATAGACTAGACTATAGACTAGACTATAGACTAGACTATAGATAGACTCTAGACTAACTATAGACTAGACTATAGACTAGACTATAGACTAGACTATAGACTAGGATAGACTAGACTATAGACTAGACTATAGACTAGACTATAGACTAGACTATAGACTAGGACTATAGACTAGACTATAGACTAGACTATAGACTAGACTATAGACTAGAAGATAGACTAGACTATAGACTAGACTAAGACTAGAATATAGATAGACTATAGACTAGACTATAGACTAGACTATAAGATGACTAGCCATAGAGAATATAGACTAGACTATAACTAGAATATAGACTAGACTATAGACTAGAATATAGACTAGACTATAGACTAGAATATAACTAGACTATAGACTAGAATATAGACTAGACTATAGAACTAGACTATAGACTAGAATATAGACTAGACTAGACTATAGACTAGATATAGACTAGACTAGACTATAGACTAGACTATCGACTAGACTATAGACTATAGACTAGACTATAGACTAGACTAGACTATATACTATAGACTAGACTATATACTATAGACTAGACTATAGACTAGACTATAGACTAGACTATAGACTAGACTATAGACTAGACTGTAGACTAGACTGTAGACTAGACATTAGACTGGCCTGTAGACTAGACTATAGACTAGACTAGACTAGACTATAGACTAGACTATAGACTAGACTATAGACTAGACTAGACTATAGACTAGACTATAGACTAGACTATAGACTAGACTAGACTATAGACCTAGACTAGACCATAGACTAGACTATAGACTAGACTATAGACTAGACTATAGACTAGACTATAGACTAGACTATAGACTAGACTATAGACTAGACTATAGACTAGACTATAGACTAGACTATAGGACTAGACTATAGACTAGACTATAGACTAGACTATAGACTAGACTATAGACTAGAATATAGACTAGACTATAGACTAGACTATAGACTAGACTAGAATATAGACTAGACTATAGAAGAATATAGACTAGACTATAGACAGAATATAGACTAGACTATAGACTAGAATATAGACTAGACTATAGACTAGAATATAGACTAGACCTATAGACTAGAATATAGACTAGACTATAGACTAGACTATAGACTAGAATATAGACTAGACTATAGACTAGACTATAGACTAGACTATAGACTAGACATCGACTAGACTATAGACTATAGACTAGACTATAGACTAGACTAGACTATATACTATAGACTAGACTATATACGATAGACTAGACTATAGACTAGACTATAGACTAGACTATAGACTAGACTATAGACTAGACTATAGACTAGACTATAGACTAGACTATAGACTAGACTATAGACTGACTATAGACTAGACTATAGACTAGACTATAGACTAGACTATAGACTATAGACTAGACTATAGACTAGACTATAGACTAGACTATAGACTATAGACTAGACTATAGACTAGACTATAGACTAGACTATAGAACTAGACTATAGACTAGACTATAGACTATAGACTAGACTATAGACTAGACTATAGACTAGACTATAGACTAGACTATAGACTAGACTAGACTATAGACTAGACTAGACTATAGACTAGACTAGACTATAGACTAGACTAGACTATAGACTAGACTAGACTATAGACTAGACTATAGACTAGACTATAGACTAGACTATAGACTAGACTATAGACTAGACTATAGACTAGACTATAGACTAGACTATAGACTAGACTATAGACTAGACTAGACTATAGACTAGACTATAGACTAGACTATAGACTAACTAGACTATAGACTAGACTGTAGACTAGACTGTAGACTAGACTGTAGACTAGACATTAGACTGGCCTGTAGACTAGACTATAGACTAGACTAGACTAGACTATAGACTAGACTATAGACTAGACTATAGACTAGACTATAGACTAGACTATAGACTAGACTAGACTATAGACTAGACTATAGACTAGACTATAGACTAGACTAGACTATAGACTAGACTATAGACTAGACTATAGACTAGACTAGACTATAGACTAGACCATAGACTAGACTAGACTATAGACTAGACTAGACCATAGACTAGACTATAGACTAGACTATAGACTAGACTATAGACTAGACTATAGACTAGACTATAGACTAGACTATAGACTAGACTATAGACTAGACTATAGACTAGACTATAGACTAGACTATAGACTAGACTAGACTATAGACTAGACTATAGACTAGACTATAGACTAGACTATAGACTAGACTATAGACTAGACTAGACTATAGACTAGACTATAGACTCGACTATAGACTAGACTATAGACTAGACTATAGACTAGACTATAGACTAGACTATAGACTAGACTATAGACTAGA